ATTGGCTTTGTGTCACCAATTTAATTTTTTTTCTGTCAGCAAGAGCAGCTTCAGCTTTTATCATCTAGTCAGGGATGTTTTGTGGGCTATTTTGGCCTGGCTGTTCCTGAAGCTAGAATGCATTGATGTCAAGAATTATTGATTTTTCATATTTTTTTTCTCCCATAGAGTACCAACCATTGAAAAAAATGGAGCAAAACCTTTAAGATCTGCCTCTAAACTTTCGCTCAAATAAATTCCATCTTTGACTTCATTACTTACTTTATTTTCCAATGGATGATATAACACAGAGATATAACCAGGATTTTTTAAACCTTCGTTTACCTCTCAGCATGATTATAAAGGTTGTCAAAGCAAGGTGAAAGGAAATGACAGTGGGGAGTGCAGTATCTACACTATAATTATGCAGAAGTTCATGTCCGGCGTTGTAATGTGTTGGGCCATCTGTTAATTTGTTGTATCTACAAATCACTTTTTCCTGATTATGGATCTCCTCACGAGAGGATTTTGGCAAAGACATTTTGGGCTGTTGTCACAGATGTTGCAGTGATTATCATATGCATAATTAACTTTACTGACATCTCATCCCAACCCAACAGTCTTATAAATGTGGTATATCAATTATTAGGGTTTTGTAAGGACAAACCACTTAAATGTATGGAAAATGTGTCTTAATCTGTAAGGTTAAACCATTCGTGGGCTAAACTAGTTTCTGACAAGCGAGAGAATTATAGACTAAAAATGGAAGCAATTTTCTTTGAAGATTAGTCTTTGTGATAACTAAGACAGCTAAGTTGAATGGCCCATCGTGTCACTGCATCCCCACACTATGGTAATTTCTTGTACCGGTATATTATTTTCCCTTTGTTCGTAGTGTTGTGTTGTTTTATATGTTTGATTATCATAAAAGGCTGATATCTATTTTAAATTCTGTCACTGAACTGATAGCATTGAGAAAATGAAAACTGGGCTTGCAGTATAAAGCTCATAGTTTACCAAAGAGAGCCCTCTGCTGGATAAGTGCCTTGTTGAAATTCTATTCAAATCGAAACATATTGCATCGCTGCATGTTTCCCAGAAAATACATTTCATAAAGAAGAATAAATACATTAGGATAAGTTATTACTTTCTTCCAAAGCAAACTCTGAGCGTCACAGTCCTTGGCCCCAGCCGCACCTGTAAGACCTATTCAGCCATTATGTGACTCAAATACATGAATAACTGGCTCAGATTTTGCCAGGCCATTACCAACACACATTACCCTTGGGTCGTGCTTTTTTCATATGAAAAGGAATGAAGAATTGCCAGTTTGCAGCAGATGATGATGGCAGCAAACAGCAGTGTGAGGCTAATTTAGATGGAAATGTATGTCAACTTGAAAAGTCATAAATCGTAGGTGTTATTAGAAGTCCAAGCAATGGCATTTGCATATTATCTTTCAGTTTATTATGTGCTCAGCGCTTTTTCTATATGAGTCTTTGGCCTTTGGAGTCTGTTTGTGTTTTTTTTTTTTGCAATATCAAGTAAAGTCCAGTTTTGAATATGAATAGAAGTTAATTTGGCTTTGGAATATGTCAAAGAAATTAAAGAGCTCTGGTGATAGTTCCCAAACAATATACATAGTTAATGTCTCTTTTTATTATTGAAGCCTAAAAAGTAAATAAAGTATACAATTTGTATATATTTCCCACTTCGTAGTTTGAGAGTTCAGGAATATGATTCAAATTATGTAAAAAAGAAAAGTGTCTTTTCAAAATGATGATTGCCTTTCTGCAAGAAAGTAAGATTTGTTTTTTAGTGCCTATTATCCACACAACATCCATTTTATATTTGTTTGGCCATCGGCAACGTTAGTCGATCCTCAGCATGGTAACAATGTGGAAAAACTGCCTCAACATTAATTCTATTGCTGGGGCCAGACATGCCTACAGTAAGAACAGCCGCTTTTCATCTGAAAATGATTAGGTTATGTCTTTCAATGCAATTTAGCAAGACATGGTGTAATTACCGAGGCTCTTTATGTAAAAAAGACTCCGTTTCGACATTGTTCCTAAGTACAATGGTAAACATTTTTGGTTTAAATTATATAAAATTATTTTTAAAAACTCTAAAAGAAACAAAAAACAACATCTGTACGCACCGAAATATCTGTTAATTTATTTTCCTCCTAAGATTGACAAATTTTACTCAATTTCACACAGGTTAATATGGATAAACTGAACAGAAGTCTTACATGAGAGGCTGAACACTTTTGGCGCTCTGGTTTTCACACTATTAAAGCTGCTGATAGCATTAAAACTGAAATAAAACTTAAAACGTAATCAAAACATAATTTTGAAATCTAACAAAGGAATAATAGATAGGGAATGTCTTGCATTATAGAATTTGATCTAACATCTACAATGTTTTGCAACCCATGCTATCGGTGGACTTAATCTGAGTAGCTTCCTTTTGCACTCTGGATTTTCAGTTATCAATATATATGGAAATAATGACCCAGTTTGAGAAAGTTAGGTGTAGAAAGTAAATATATTTGAGTTTAAATGTAGTGCGTATAAAGTAGAAAATCCTTAGAGAAAAGTACTCAAGTAGAGATGTCCAAAAACCTAAGCATAGTATGCCTTTCTCTAGCAGTCCACGGGCAAAAGGAATGGTGCACCCTGGACACAAGTGTATTCCAAAAAGAAATCATGATCAGCCCCAGTGTGTAAGACTTACCTCCATCTAGTGATGTGCTCAATGAATTACAAACAACTGAGAAGCCTGCTCTGTTACCTTATCCTTAAGCATATAATAACTACTGTAGAGCCCACAGAGTTTCATATATTAATATGAAAAAGTCAACATTCTGTCAAAGTTTGAGCACCACGCGAAGTAATGAATATATTGATGCAAAGAAGGGAGAAGCTGAGAAGCTGTTTCATAAATCGATAATATTCTGAGATATTTTTTAGCATTACATGTTTGTGGCAAGTTATCATTGCATTCTAAATATTAATATTTTTTTTAAATCAAACACAAGTTCAAAGGTTACTGGAAATTCAGATCTGATTAATTGAAGAGAGGAATATTTTTTACATATAAAAATGTAAAAAAAATACTTACAAAAGTGTGATTCTCCATTTCATGTAGCAAAATAAACCAAAAAGGAAACATAGTTAATTTAATACTAAAATAAAAATAAAACTGGGTGAATAAGATGGATGTAATATCAATCATTTATAGACTAAACTTTATACATTTTTTAAAAACAAAGTAGAGGAGCATTAACGAGATCTAAAGCCAAAATGAACTTAATTTTTCAATCTAGAGCCTATTAATTAAACTATTGGAATATTTACAGAGGCCAAATGTATATCTGAAGAAGTTCAATAATTTTACAGTAATTTATATGTGTTTGGTTAATTATTCCATTTAATAAATTATGACAAATTTATTCTATTTATTTATTTTTTTTAACAGCATTTGATTGATTTAGTGTAACATGGTTTTATTTTTATAAAGGAATAGATTGTGGCTTTGGAGATCAATTGCTTGATATTAAAAATGTAAAGTTATTAGACAAGGGGGCAGCATCTCACCTCTACTGTTCATTACAATCACAGAGCTCCTCAACACCTTTTTATTCTTACAGATAAAGTTAAGAATCCTCTGACTATTTGGACACACCTGCAGTTTGCAAAAGCCACAGGTTTCATTTTAAACATTGATAAAAATTAATGATAATATAATAAGATTGAATATAACCCTCTATTCACAACATACCAGTCAAAATAGAGGTTCAATGCATGGGATTATGGATCACAAAAAGCTAGCAGCATGAAGAAATAGAAAAAAAGAAAAGAAAAAAAAATGACACATAACTAATTACAGAGAAACCCTAAAAGAAGGAAAAAGTACCCAGAATAACATAATCTGCATGCTCTCTACCCATTTAAAATAAAAAATATAAAAGAAATCAGTGAACAGAATTTGATTCCCAACATTTAAAGTGATGGAATGAAAAATTATAAAAATGAATACTTAAAGGCCATAGATTTTGAAATAATGACCTGTGTGTAAAAAATAAATTGGGTCCAATCTTTTATGATTAATGGACATGTGGTTTGATTTGCTCTATACACTTTCATACTTAAAAAATTAGAAGGTACTTTGTTCTTATCAAAAATATGAAGAAATGTATATTTCTAAGTTAACTGTCAAATGATATAAAAAATAATTTGGCAAATTGCTTACAAGCATCATTGTAGTCCTTTAATGTGCATTTATGAAACAACCAGCTTTCTTACTTGCTTTACATAAAGGAAAGTTTATGCTGCATAATAAACTGATTGGTTGGGCTGCTCAGTGGGGCAGTGGGTACCAAGAACCTTGCACCAAGTAGCTTCCGGGTGCGACTCCCTGCTCAGGGTCTTTCTGCGTGGAGTTTGCATGTTCTCCCTGAGCATTCGTGGGTTCTCTCTGGGTACTCCTGCTTCCTCCCACAGTCCAGAACCATGACTGTTAGGTTAATTGGCTTCTCTAAAATCTCCCTAGGTGTGAGTGTGTGTGTGAATGGTTGTTTGTCCTGTCTCTGAGTGGCTCTGCAATGGACTGGGGACCTGTCTAGGTTGTACCCTGCCTCTCGCACCTAGACAGCTGGAGATAGGCACCAGCACCACTCCCGACCCCAGCTAGGATAAAGTGTGATGGAAAATGGATGAATAAATTGATTTGATAAGCAAATCTTGATAAACACACATTTAATGGATTATAATGGTAACCTTTATGTAGTTTAAGTTTAAAGTTAAAAGTTTACCTGTAAATTTCAATTAATATGTATATATCATAGCCTAATTGATAATATTCCTGTTTCTTTTTATTATTTATTAATTTATTTTAAAGTGACATCTATCTAAAATAATACATCCTGGTCTTGTAGAAAAAAAAAAGATTACATTTGCAAAATATGTATTTATTCAAGCAACATTTGATTTTTGACTAATAAAAAGTCAAGTGACGTCTTTAAACATCAATGTTTTAATGAAAGGAGATTTTAAACGATATCCACAATGGCTGTAAAATTCCGTCAGTACAAAACAGCAGAGAAACACATCAGTAATCTCTTCTAAAATGCTTGTTGACAAAACAGACACTGACATATACAATCAAACTTATGACAAGCTGCTTTTTCTTCTTCGTCTTTACAAGCTGCATCTTCACCTGAATGTCTGAGCTCTCATATCGGATGAGATAGTGTTCACCATCATAGTCATAAGACACAGCCGCCTTCTCCAGTTCCACGGAAACAGGAGAAGCGACACAACTGAACGGTTGCCTGAATTCATCCAGCAGGGTCAGAGACATGATGCAGCAATTCTGAGAAAGTGTTTCAAAGTAAACATTAGTCAAAAAGTTTCTTTAGGTTTTGCATTATCAAAGCCAATCTACAAGGACTTGTTTTGTTGTTGTTGCAGTATTGTAATAAACTCACCTCTACTGTGCCTTCCAATGCCTCACACCGCCAGGGCAGGGTGAGATTCCCTGACAGCTGGATGTGTTGTGAGAAGCCTGTTCTGCTAATGGCAGTGAGCTGGATGAATCCATCAGAGATGTCAGCTAAAACAATAAACCATATAACAAGCAAATAAACTCTTTTAAAAAATAAATCACCAAATCACCTTGTATTTTCAACAATTGGTCAATATAATCTTAATTCTTTTTTCTTTAAACCGTCTCTTTAAGATTATTTAAAGCATAAAAAGGACAACAAAGCGTAGAAAGCTTACAGCAGTTGCTCAAACTATAAAAACTTTCCCTATTTATAGAAAAGGGTCTTGTTTTCAGGAAGTACAAAATATCAAGTGAGAGAGACTTAATAATATGGATGCATTATAGAAAACTTACAAAGACTGGTTAACCAGTCAGAAAAAAAATACAATAGCATTTTTTCTTAAAAATGTACAATTTCAAGGTTGAAATGGTTAGAAATAAATGTTCTAGTGAGAAGATGGGCTTAATTAAGCTGGGTACCATTGAACATATCACTATTGTTATGCACTGAGGAGTATTTCCAAAGTTTTCTTAGAAAAAAAAAGGAAAAGAAAAAAGAAAAAAAAAAGTTTTCATTGTCTCCTGATTTTGAATAGTCATGTAAACCAATGCAGTGCCACTTGGAGATTATAAGCAGAAATAGGTTACCTCTGCGACAAAAGAGCTGGGAAAAGCTTTCAGACATGAATTTGCATTCAGCGTTGTGGAGAACAATGTGTAGTTGGTAACCATGGAGACCATATTCAGGGTCTATGTCATCAAAAGGGGCTTGGATGATGGGCTCTACATAGTAACTGAAGAAGATGAAAATGCACAAGATTAAATGAAAAGAGAACAAAAATTAAACTGGTACAAAGTTATTTTAGAGGTGTAATTCTTTTGTTGGAGGAACTAAGTCCTAATGTACTGCAGCGATACTAAGATATTTAAATTCACCAGTAGAGGGTGCAATATCCACAAATCATTAAAAAACATTAAGGATTGAATGTGTTTGTAATATACTGCTTTTTGATCCCTATTTAATGTTTCAATTTTTGACGGTTCCAATGTTAAATATCAGACAGCATGTATTAGATCATGTTTTAGGGAGGACATGAAACAAAAGTAGTATTTGATTTATTGCAAAAATCAGGGCCTCTGTATTAACTACCAGGGCTTATAAATATGTGCATTATGAATACATCAAAAGTGGCATCATAACTTATAACTTCCTTTTCCTATTAACCAATGCCATGGTGATGGTGATTTACAGTGTCTAGCAAAAAGAGTAAACTTTTTCAGATTTTATTGTATTATCTCAAGCAAACTCAGAACATCAGCCTCTAAAAGATTTTCTTCCAGCATTGTCTTGTATTAAGTTCTGTCCATTTTTCCAAGACTTTGAGGATTCCTAGAAAATCTTTTTTCTGGTCTATTGCATATATTTTAACAAACTAAAGAACAGTTTTTATATGACTTACATTTACAATTTTACATTTTACAAAAGCTTTTTTTCTTACCCCCTATTTTCCTATAGTCTGCTAAAGGAAAAATGCCCCATCATATGACCCTGACACAACTGTTTCAATAAGTAGCTGGTGCTTGTTTTCAGGAATATGTATAATAGCTTTTCCTTGCGTTTAATGCTTTGCTTGTATGCAAAAAAGTAGACTGTTGGTCTCATCAGTTCAGGTACCTTCTTCCATGTTTGCTTTGCCCTCCACAGGGATTCTATCTAATGGCAAACCTGACCCCTTATTGCCTTTTTTTTTTTGCTCATCTGCCATACAGACCAGAGTGTGCAATGAATAGTTATAGCTTCTACTGCAGTTTCTATGAGCCTCTTGAGTACTTGCCTGATTGTTGCAGTAGATCCCACATGGTTCAGATACTGTAGTGCTGAAAACCATATCTGTTTTTTTTTTTTTTCACTTTACATTTAAGCTCTAATGATGGGTTTATATAAATACATGGAAGGTTTTAGTTATAAGATGAAAAAAATACAAAAGGCATAAAAAAAAAAAAACTGACAGTTTATGAGCTGGACTGTGTTGCAGCCTACCAATCTGAAGATCCTTGAATGCTCCTCTCCACCAGTTTGTAGAAGTGGAGGGTAAACATAATGAAGGCTACAGACCTCTGGCCCTGCAAGGAGAGACACATGCATAGCTTGTAATTGTGATTTCTACATCAGTCATGAGATGAATTATGCTTTATCACACAGCTTTTGCTGCAATAGCAAGACAGAATAATAAAGAAACAACACAGCTTCTGGATGTTACCTTCCAAAGACCAAAGATGATCCCAGGCTGTAGCAATTCCAATTGCAAAATTTGGTCCTGTCCAATAACCTGTGGGCTTTTAGTTAGTAACTGCATATCCATCTTTGCCATCAGGGATTTCCTGTTGGGTCTGAAAAAATCAAGTAGAGAGCACAGTTAGTTTCAAAAAGAGATGAGAAAACAGAGGGAGAAAGGTGTTGAAATAGATACTACAGCTGTCTTCACTTCTTTAAGCCAGAGCGGCAGAGGGCAATCCTCCTGACACCGTGAAGTTCAAGGCTGGAAACCTGCTTGTAGTCGGGCAAGAAGTTTCCACCACACCAGCACAGTGTCACTGAGGTTTCTGAGAAGTGGGACCAACTCAGCTCCAATGTACTCTCACATCCAGACATATCAGTGATGGTCAGTTCCCAAGTGACATTCAGGTTTCTAGAGAGGGATAAAACATTGCTGAAATAAAGCAATACATGTTGGAGAGGGACAAACATGCAAAGGTTTAGCTGCTGCTTCTTACACAAAGATAAATTTGCCAAAACAAACGACTGCTTTATTAAATACAAAACAAATAAACTGAGTGAGATTAGCCAAAAGCTGACTGCTGCTATTTTTTTTTTCAAATCAGCAAAACTGTAAACCCTAGTGGCTTTAGCATTTCTTATGTAAGTCAGGGAGAATTGCATGACTCCTTTTAAGCTGTTCTGACTAATAAAATGATGCTCAACGAATGAAATCAAACAACAGCTGTTGTGATAAATCTCTTGATCCAATTCTGTCTAAACTGTGATTCACAACTGCCCCCGCTGTGATTGTAGCCAGCTTCTTGCTGAGGCACGAACCAATATCAATTAAGTGGAGAAACAAAGCTTAAAAACTGGAGCAGCCCAGAAGGCCGCGAATGACCCAGGGGGTTTCACTCTGCATCCTCTGTGTGTGTGATGTCTTGTGAAATGATTATTACCAAGGTAAATCGCATGCTCCTCAGTGTCTCTAACAGACAAAACCCCTGTAGGGAATTGTCTCAGCTGGTGGGATGAAGGAGGGAGGAAAGAGATGATGGGGCGTGCATCCGTGTATGTGTATTGTCAGTGAGGGTTTGAGGGGGCTAAGTAATTTATTTCAACAATTCCGACAGCCTCTGCAAAGAACGCAATTATTTCTACTAAACCCTCACCCCACCCCTGTGTAGCACAACAACGGCTTGAGAACTCAAAATTGAGTGCTGCACAGCCTCTAATCAGAGGTTATAAAAACACAGCAGAAACTGCAGTGGAGGTGCTGGAGGAGCACACACACACATAGTTGCCAGTATCCCCTCTGCGCAGACACAACATTCAGACGCAGACCTCCTCTCTCACCTTTAATAAGAAAATGTCCTTAAGAGTGCACAGTATAAAAACGAACCACATTATGTTTTGGATAGCAGGCAGATTTTCCCTTCCGCCTGCCCTTGAACCTGCTCAGCAGCAAGGCTGGATTTATAAAGACTTACCCTCCGCCTAATAGAGCCCAGATCCCTAGTTGCAATGCTTATAGTTGGGGAAAAGAAGTAGGAGAAAAACACTATTGACATATATAGACAAACTTTAATATCCAAGTGATCCCTAATATTTTTTGTATTTCTTTTTTTATTAATTCCTTCATTTATGTATTAGTAAGTGACTGTATAGTAAAATCAAACCACTGTTACATTCAACTGGTTTGAAATTTAAAAACTAGTTGTTTTTTTTTTTTTACATGTGATTATTTATCTGTTTCTTACACTACCTGAGGGCTTGCTCTGTTTGGCTCGGCAGACCAGTATGGCTGCTGACGGCTCCAAGAAGAGATTTCCACTTTTTCATGTCACGATGTGCCACTGTCTTAAAATACAGCTGTTTCCAGTAGCCCACAGGATCATCACCAGTCTTCTTAGGTAAAAGCTGGACCTTCTCACTCTTTGTTTTTTGCCTTTTATTGTTGCCAAGATCAGTGATGTAAAGCTTCTTCCACAGAGCACTATATGTGGCACAAGGAGAAACAGAACATTAAAAGACTATGGTTGGTAAACCTAAAAAATATCCTGTTATGAACTTGTAAGAAACTACACAATTTTCTAGTTAATTCTCAAAAACTACTATGGAACAATAAAAAAAGCTGCTCTAAGATTTGGTTGTCTGGGAAATCTTGTTTTAACCTTTAAGTGAACTCTCTTCCTCATATATTTGAAAATGTTTGAAATGTCACACCTTTCTATGGCATAAATTTACACTTTTAGAGGTAAGAGAATAATTTAAAAAAATATATCATGTATTAAAGTTTGAATAGGCATTTGACTGACAAATAAATTTTTGCTGATTTCATGCCAAAAGTTCTTTTCTTTGTGGAGTCATAAAGACATACAGGCTGCGTGAAAAACAAGGAAGCAAGGTCAGGCTGTGCTTCAATGCAACATAGTTAAAATGAAGTGACAAACAGTCTGACAGCAATTCAGAGTGACATACCCAGTCTTTTAATGATAGCTTTACATCTCTCTACATTACAAACCATAAATATGTGTTTGACATATTTAATTTATCCTTTTTTTAATTCAGTAACCAAAAAAGTTCCTGTTTAGTTTTAACTTATAAATATGTCTCTTTAAGAACATGTAAAAAACATGTAAAAAAAAAAAAATCTGTTTTTATGCAGTTAGTATTCAATACCGTTACAATAAACTGTTCAAATGTAGTCCTAATCATATGTCCTATTTATTTGTTTGTATATTACATTAGTAAAAGTTTTTATTTTATTTTATTGATCATCACTCTATGAAACTTACTTATTACTGGCAAGCTGATGAAACAGCTTATTGGTGTGGCTTAAGCTGAGAAGTGCAGAGGCATCCAGGTGGGATAGAATCTTCACCAGAATCTCAGGTGGCAGTCTGGAAAATTGATAAAGAGGATTAAGTATAGAATTCCTATGCATTTCTAATAGTAAAGTTTCCCAATTTCCCAGGGCTGCAGTCTTTCCATTCATACTACAATTATTAGAATCAAGTTCCATATAACTGTGTTGGTACCCTGTGATTAGAAATAAGGGCACACTTGTTAAGTATTTTGAATTGATCACAAGGGACAAAAGAGACTTAATTTATACACTTGAAATAGTCTAAATTGACCTTATGCCTAGCCTGATACCTTTTTATGTGTACAGTTCCATGCAAGAGTTTACAGCCCTAGATTAAAAAAAAATTAAACTTACAGTTCAACAGAAAGAACCTTTTAATTGTATTTGGCATTTATGTGACTGAAAAAAAAAACACTAAAAGCATTATACAATTGTGAAGAGGAGGGAAATGATCGGTATTTACACAGATAAAAACAAGGCACAAATAATCAGCGGATTTAAGTCTGAAAATATAAAGAGGCCATTCTACAGCACAACACAAATGGATTATCATCTTATGATGCTAGTTATTAACACTTTTTGCAATTAGATAAACAAAATTACAGTTTGGTCATGTCTAAACAGAAAATCATTTTCTTGGTCTATTTCATATATTTAAAAAATACTGAAGAAGGGCTTTTATATGACTTACATTTAACTTTATTCTTGCCTACAATAAAGGAGAGATTTATGCCATAGGTATTATGTAGGTATGGCCATAACTGACCTATAGATAGATTTTTTGTAGCAGCTGATCCAAAGTTATCATTTGCCATTTGGCTGCTTCTAATTAATTTACTCTTTGCCAATCTGTTAGTTGAAGTAAACAGCCATGTCTTGGTCGTTTTCCACTCCTCCCTTCTATTAGATTTCTTTGCAAAGATATCCCATGCGATACTGCCTAATAAACTTCTCTAACTTTGAAATTCTCCACAAACTTTACCCCGGGCCTATCAGCTTTGTTTCTTGGTCTTCATTATGCTGTGTGCGCATTATGCGCATTGAGAGAATATTGGTTACAATAAAACTTTGACTGCTTACCTCTCAAATAGACTTTGAGTGGACATTGCTGTTCGTTCGTCCACTCTTTTTGACGCTCTCCCGGCTCGCAGTCTTGGAGTAACTGCTTTGAAAGATGCCATATCATAATTTTTATGACAAAAAATATCGTTGGGTCATTTTACGCTACAATCCACGCGCGTTGCCAAACAATTATGTGCTAATGTCGCGGAGGAAACTCTAGATCACTTTCACAATTCTGTTCACTTGTGCGCCTGTGATATAACATCAGACTATAGAGCTTTCACGTTCTGCGTCTCGTTTCCATGGTAACAACAAATGGCGACTCTTTAACAGGAAAAGGAGAACAGCAGATAGTTCGGTTCCAGTAGTTTAGAGTGCCTTCAAAATAAGGGCAGGCAACATCCCACTCATTGACCAGAATATACTGTAGGCTGAACCGGAGGTGTTCAACAGGGGGTCCGCGACCCCTAGGGGGTCCACGGAAGTAATGCATGGGAGTCTCGAAAGTTTTGGTTGGAGTTAGACTTGTTTTATATTCCCCTCTTGCAATTTTTTTCCACTAATTGAAATGTCTTTAAATACAATTTAACATGAATTCAACACACTGTAGTAAACAGATAAATGGAGGCAGAAGATGTCTTTCAGTCATCAATGCACACATTCATCGACACACTGGAGCTCTTTCAAGCTGGACACAGTTTCATTCACAACACCTGTCCCATCAACCAGGAATCAGAATCAGAGATACTTTAATAATCCCAGGGTGAAATTACTTCCATTACATGACTCCGTATGTTATAGAGTCAGTGTGTGAGTGTGTGCGTGAATGGGTGAATGAATGTGGTGTAAAGCGCTTTGGTCAAGTCTCCTAACTTGAATAAAGGCGCTATATAAGTACATGCCATAGAGTGACTATAGGACCAGTATTTATAATTAGGGGGTCCCCGCTCCATCTGTCCATCAGTTTGGGGTTCCTTGGCCTGGAAAACGTTGAAGACCCTGGGTTAAACGATGAATATCGTTTTATTCTGAGTCATAAAGAAATTTCAATTTAAACTGCATCTTAGTTACACGTGATCTAACCTTATTTTCTGTGTCGTACTTTTATTTTTAACAACCGCACGTTTTAATTGTCAATTGTTCTCATTGCTGCACTTTTTTAAAACCTTGCATTTTGTAAAACCCAGAATTAGAAATCCAGACTTCATCGGTGTGCATAATAGTGGAAAAAACGGCACTGGATAAAATCTTTAATGTTGTCTTATCTTAATATATTTGATGATTTCAGAAAAGTACAAGCTGCTGAATGTGTAATAGCAATCCCATGAACGAACAAACCATTGTTTGCATTAAAAGATGTTTGTTCAAAATATTGAACATTTGCTACTTATTTTGCACTATATATATTTATATATATATATATATATATATATATATATATATATATATATATATATATATATATATATATATATATATATATATATATATATATATATATATATATATATATATATATATATGTGTGTGTGTCTGGAAGAACACACGGCTTTAAATTACTTAATTTAAATCTAAGATGAATAAAAACTTCACATTGTGATTATATCAACTTTTCATACACACACCCACACCAATGGGGAGATAGTACTGTCTGCTGTGAGTCTCTTAACCCAAATATTACACTTAATCATAAAGTTAACCCAAAACCTGCCATATAAGAACATGTAATAGTAAAGTTTTTTTGGGGGGGTCTCTTTTAGTCTCATTTAAGATAGGGATGGCATCTTACTGACACATGAGATGATTCATCCATCCATCCATCTACTACCACATGTCTGTCAGGCTCATGTGGTGCTATGGCCTATCTCTAACAAAGTACTCTCTGCAAAGGTCACAATTCAATTGCAGGGCAATATACAGACATATACCCAAGCACACAAACAAATGCGGGTCAACAATCAACCTAACAGTCATTATTTTTCAGATTATGAGCAGAAGGTAACATGCCTGCTCCACGGAGAAAGACTCTAAGCTGGGATTTGAACCCAGGACCTTCTTGCTACCAACTGCATCTCTGCGCATTCCAAGATAAATCCTAATTTATTTATTTATTTTAAGACTTCAATATTGTGACCTAATTCCAGACATTAAAATACAGTATTATTTAAAGCTGCACACACAGATGGACAGATGGTCTTGCAGATATTTAAAATGTTTGTACTAGCACATGCTGTTGGCCAGCTTGGAGTTTGGTTTTATTTGCATTATGTGTAAAAATAACTTGTATAGGTTAAATAGAGATGTATAGACAAAGGATCCCATTAGTGTAGAAGGAAGGAGAAAAAATGTATTGCTTCACATCTTATCATGTCTTTCTTAGTGAAGCTGTGCTGATGTAATCTTATTTCTGACATATAAAGAACACAAGGCAAAACATATTGCAAAAAGAATAAATAAATAAAATTAAAAAAAATATCTAAAACAGATGGCTCATTTTAAAACCCATCACATAACTGTCCTCTTTACTCAAGGAGGCCAGTAGGCTTTGCTGGCTGTCAGTGAATATAACCATAACTCTGTTGTCAGTCTCGCCGATCAGCTTTCCTGATAGAAGTGAAGTCCCTTTCAGGGCAACAGCAGCCCCTGGTATGGTAACATTAAGTAGGCCACATCTCTTTTCCGAGCATGTCCCCCTGTACTTGACATTTGATGTTTTCTGTAGTTGTCTGTCCTTTGGAAGGCCTGGGGAAAGTTGTGGCTCTTGGATACCTGATGTCACCCTTCTGCATGGTTTGCCAGTAAGCTCTGACAGAGCAACGCTTGACAAACGAGACTGAGAGCAGAAAAGTATTAACCATCATTAAGACTAAAATTAGGGATTTGCTGTTTAAACTTGGGATTTCAGATTTAGTGAAGCCTCAGGTTTGAAGAGTAACAGATTTATATTTTGTCAGTTATTTACCAAATTGTTGATAAGGTACAGTGTCTAAATATGATATTTAATACAAGAATAAAACCTTTACCTATATTTTCTCCATTTCTTTGGAAATATATCTCACAAAACATCACTTCCTGATGAAGAAGACAAATAATAGTTTCCTATATATTTGGTACTGATAGTAACAGTCTATCTGTACTTTGTATAGCTACCTTTCACTTTAGTTACCACTAGAAGTCTTTGTTGTATCTCTTCTCTGGGTTTGCACATAGAGGCTGACATGTGTTATTAGTCATCTTCACTAAATAACTCAATCTCAATTTGACTAGATAGAGTGTGCCTGTGAACAGCAATCTTTAAGTGTTGTCTCACAATTGGATTTTAGCCTGGACTTGAACTGGTACATTCTAACACATTATGCTTTGATCTAAATCATTCCAACAAAGCTCTGGCTTTTTGTTTGAATTGTTATACAGCTGGAAGGTAACTGTCTTTCTCTATCTTAAGTGTTTTACAGCATTTCAGGTTTACTCAATACACTCTATCATCCCGCTAACTCTGATCTGGGATCAGAATGATCCTATTTCAAAGAGAGGTTAGTATTAAGGGTGGGGTGTGTTGTTACTGTGTGTGTTTTGCTTCTTAGATTGACAAAATGTTCAGTTTTGTTTCACCTGACCACTATTTATACTTTCACATGTATATATGTGAAAGTATATATATATATATATATATATATATATATATATATATATATATATATATATATATATATATATATATATATATATATATATATATATATATATATATATGGGGTGTTTATCTCTGCAGCTTCTTTAGAAGTAACGTAAAGTACCGTAAAGGCAAGGAGAATTGCTATGGAAGTCTTACTTTTGACAACAATTAATTAATTTGTATTTAAAGACTGTTTTATAACACAAAGCTCATTGTGTTCATTGGTCTTAATGACTTAATGATGCTGTTTTTTTTTGTTTTACAAAAATGTTCTCTGAAAAAATTGATAGGGTTAAATTATATCAGTAAAAAGTATCATTGCAGTAATGTTATTGTAATGGTGATGTAGATTTCAATTTTCAAACATTTCCATAGTTCTTTTTCTTTCCTTTTTGTCTTTTCTTCCAATCATGTTAGTCCACCAGGCTTTGTGATTTTTAGCTCCCCAGCCACTAAAAATGCATTAGGTGTGGGCATCAAGGGCCATGAAACCTCTTTCAACAAGCCAGGTGTATCACTGGTATGCATAATTTGCATACAAAGAACAGAAATAGTAATTTGAATTGGAATTATGCTCACATTGATATTGCAGGTTTGACTGTGATACAGAACAATATGTTGGACAGCTCACAGACCGATGGACCCCCTTTATTCATCAGGTCTATTTCTATTTAAACTGGACATTTTTCCCCCCCAGCAATTAGAGTAAGACATTAACAAAACAAGAAAGAAAAAGAAAAGATAACAAAGAAAAGTGACTTACCATACAAGCATTTATCCCACTTCCCAATTATGCAGTCCTTTGTGTCAACATATGAAAATTATACTAAAACACACTAAAGCCTCTTTATGTGTTTATCCTATATTTCTCTCGCTAAATTCTGAATAGATTAACTTAAAGAAAATAGCTCCCTGAATACATGTTCATGATTCATGCAAGTTTGCATATTTTTAAGTTTAAAATAGTAGAAAAATAGTATAAATGACAGGTCATTAAAGCCCTGAGGGGCTTGCAGAAGAAGCCCTCACACAGCTATTCAAAGGACATTGACATGTCAGGGCTTCAAAAGAAAAGGTTAAAGTTTCGCCAGACAGGTGAAGCTTATTCTTTGTGAACTTATTCAAGAGACCCTTTTTTTTTCAGCTGACATACTGTATTAAATATTTCTTGATTATTTCTGTGGATGTGGAGATGCCTGTAGATTTCTTTTTTAACAAAATAATTTAATGATTTATTTCTGCTAGAATGGAGCACAACTGCAAAGATGAATTTAGCCGCTGGATGGCGCACAAGTACCTGTATTGGAAAACCTAAGTACCAAAGTCCTGAATCAAAAATACAAAGATGCATGCTGATTGTGACATGCACAGCCAGGGTTATCATATGCAAACGCTTTCATTTTTTTTAAGTTTATACAGTCACATGTAAAACCAAAGATCCACGTTAATAGAGGACAATAAAAGATAGCTATCCAACACGTACTCTGGGGACTCAAGAGTTTAGGGCGTCGAATTGATTAATAAGTAAACGAAGCTATTAGTCTACACCTTTTCTCTTATTTTAGGGGCACTTGTAGAGGAGTCTTGCTTGCAGCGGCTCACACACTAAGAATGGGCGTGAGTTGTCCCTCGAAAGGAGAGCCTAGAGACCCCTGCTTTCGTTTTTCTCTCTCTTCCAACGATCAGAGGATCTCACTTCTGCCTGTGAAAGACAGCGAACACAAGAGCGGGATGGAGAGCACAGGTAAACCAAGAATGGGATCTTTTTTCTTTTCTTTTAAAAAAAGAATATACTTAAATAGCCTTATTTCAGATTCAGTTTTATGTCATCATCATAAAGTAAAATTATATTTAATTTTGTAACAAACGATCAGATGTTTATTACTGCCTAATGCTGTACTCACTGGCAGTATCTGTTTACTTTACGCACGAGAGCTTATTTTACGCATAAAGAAATTACTGGCTCACCGAGTAGAACGTTATAAACTTTCAGTTGTTTTGTTTTTTTTTTACGTGTAGTTTTCAACTTTTTTCTCTACTGTGTCGTCAGGAATGACAAATATAGCAGTGTAAATCATCTCCCAAAATCTAAGACGCACAGGAGGGAGGGGAGCCTAAGTGCGTCTGTGTCAAAGAGCGAGGGAGCATCGCAGACAGAGGAAGAGAGAAAGGAAGAGAGAGGAAAAGGGGGAACGAGCCTGAACCAGGTGATCAATAAACCTCCAAGGGGTTGCCAGGGTTGTCTCATTGTACGCTGGATCCAGTGATCCAACTATGGTGCCATCGCGCTGCCCGGGACCCTGTGCCATCCTGGCACTGGCTTTCTTCTTGGGATGTGGCGTGGTCCTGTGCTCCGGCCAGAACGACACGGAGCCCATAGTGCTGGAGGGAAAGTGTCTAGTGGTGTGTGACTCGAACCCTTCCTCGGATGGAGCGGTGACCTCCTCACTTGGCATATCCGTCCGCTCCGCAGGGGCGAAAGTGGCTTTTTCCGCCGTACGCGGGACTAATCATGAGCCGTCTGAAATGAGCAACACGTCAATGACCATCTATTTTGATCAGGTAAATATTGCACACAGCTAAATAATACTATATAGGATAGATATGAGAAAATAATGTTTTCCGTGGGCATTACGTAGTATTTTCTTAAAAGTTACTGTGAAAGCAATTTGGAACATTTTGGAAATAGTTCAAAGAATCCGATGCGCAATTGGCGCAAAGAATGATGTGAAGCCAACAAAGCAACTATTATTCCAGAGATATTTATCACAAGGAAGATATACAGCTTTGATTAGTAGCTCCAACAAATCCACACATCTGGGATGTTTGTAGAGAGGCCTATTCATGCAACAGAGAGTCCTCCCAAGCACTGCCCTACACATTTGGCACGCGCCCCCATGCATGCCAGACGAAAACATGACTACAAAAAAGCTGTAATGTTGATCTAACTGCTTCTCTTTACTGTGCGCCGTTTTGGATCGCAGGTTTTAGTCAACATCGGCAATCATTTCGACCTAAAAGCGAGTGTTTTCCAGGCTCCAAGAAGGGGGATTTATAGTTTCAGCTTTCACGTTGTGAAGGTCTACAACAGACAAACTATACAGGTAAGAGAGCATGAAGTGGTAGCTGATCATTTTATCCAGTGAAATATGACATACACCGCAATAAGCCGTTTTTCTGCTCCCTTTTCTCAGGTCAACCTAATGCAAAACGACTATCCCGTTATATCCGCTTTCGCGGGTGACCAGGACGTTACAAGGGAGGCCGCCAGCAACGGCGTGCTGCTGATGGTGGAACGTGAGGACCGGGTGTACTTAAAGCTGGAGCGGGGCACCCTTATGGGCGGATGGAAATACTCAACCTTCTCAGGCTTTCTAGTCTTTCCTCTATAATCCCATCATCGAGGATCGGGACTACGCTTAAGTTAAGGAACAACAAGAAAAAAGTATATTCAAAAACATGCCATTTATTTTGCAAACTGTCAGCCAAGGAAGCCGACGAATATCTGTACACTCCGTCTAACACTATAGTCAACTCTCAACGTTTCCTTGGAGTTTCATATATTCAAACCTATCGACTTTTACGCAATCTGGATGACTAAAATGTATCGATCGGGCCAGTGAGTGGCATGTGCTTGTCGACTGTGTGGATTTTTTCCCCTCATTGCCTGGAGACCAAACTTTTTAGCAACGTGGAAGACGATGATGTGGAGAAAAAAACCCTGACTGTGTTATGCTTTATTTCTGTTTGTATAGCCTTAAAGAATAAATGGTGAGGTATCTACGGACAGCCAGGAAGAGAGAAACGTATCCACGCCCAGAGGCTTTTTTCTCTTTTTCTTTTCTTCTTTCTTTCTTCCTTTTTTTTTTCTTTTGCACGAATGGAAGTTTCCACTTTTTTATGTTTTTTGTTGTGCTGTCTATGGTGTTGCGTCTGAATGCTCAACGTATTGAAAATAAGCCAAACTGTGGGCCGCTTATGAGTTTATTACATGAGAGAAAGAGGGAACATTGCAGACAGAAAGATATTACAGTAAAGGCGACATATTCAAGCCTCAAGAGATGACTTACAACCCTTTTATTTAAGAACAACAATAATAATTTAAACAAGAAAATAGATATCTAATTTATGAAGTACATATTCACAGTACTATGTGTTCTACATTTTGGAATTTGCGTAGCTTTGACTGATTTTAATGTTCAGTGACTTTGCTCACTTAATGTACATTGTGGAAAAAACTAGAAGAATCCCTATATATATATATATATATATATATATGTCCCGCTTAATAAATGATATTGTATTGTATAGGCTGATTCATCGTTGTTATTTAAAGAAGCAACTTGAAGTGAAAGAAGGAATGCATACTTTAAAAGGGAAGGCCTTGAAGGGAAACCAGGCATGTCGCTGTCTGTGGTGCTGAAGATTGAAACTCGCACAACAGCTGTTAATTTGAGAAGAATGAATGCACCTTGCTGAAGATCTTTAGTTAAATTTTGATATTTAAATAACTGTGTTTCTTTTATGCTAAGGAGCTTTAGTTTTGGTGCTTAAAAAATGCATGCTTTTGTCTGTATAATACATTTTGCAGCACACTATAGAGACTGCTGCACCCATTGAACTCCACAAGGTAAAGTGCAGGAAAATCACCTTTAAGTGAGAAACTGATAGCATAAAGCTTTACCCTTCCTTAAAAAGTTGTGTCTTTACTATAAAAATGATCAGTTGTCTTGCAAATAAACAGCTGTTTATATTTTAACCGGTTTATCCACAAGCCCGTCCCTAACTATCTCCTTCATAGTCAGACAATATGTTGCCTTCTACTCTCCCTTTTTTGTATTATTAAATTATAGTCAATGCCACACCTAGTCGAGATGCTTCAAACTAATCAAAGTAAAACAAAACAATTTGAAACTCGTTTCATTTCCCTGCTTTGCAATAGAGAATATTCTCCGCAACAGATACGCAGGTATCTAAAAAGTTACCCCTGAGACTTTCTCTTTTTTATTTGGCTGGGGGCTATTCTACAGCATGGACTATGCAGAATGTTTCACTCACAATTATTGATAGATTTTTTTTAAAACAGTTACCCTGTGCATTTAAATGCTTCCCCGACTCCTGAAAAAGAATTAGAAGTAATTGTGTTTTTTGTGTAACTTAATTGGCATTACTTTATCATAATTCAGTTAATATAAACACAAAAGTTTGAAGGCGTTGCACACCTACTGTATGTGTAAACATGTCTTGTTTGAATTAAGTGTATCCTGCTGCTCTTTGCGGTTACAAAGTTTCTTGCCTTTTTTTTCTTGTCCAAATTCGAGTTAACCATCCACAGAAGTTGGTAATGATTGAGAACATCTTTTTTTGGTAAGCTTATGATAATGGGAAACATTCAATACACCTGTAAGGAAATACAAGTGAAAGTCATTTTGATCAATATTGTTAAATCTCGGCAAAGCAAAAAAGTTTTGTAGCATTTTTTTTGAAAAGCGTTATAATCTTTTTCCTCTGCAGAGACATACAAAGTATTTAAGTGGTTAAAAACATGTAGACTTGTAGTGTAGTCAATTTGAAAATGGTTTCCTTTATTTTAAGGCATTCTTTATTGGGATCTTCAGTTCCAGTCCTCTAGGTCCAGTGTCTTTCACCTTTTAAATGTTTTTTTTATACCTTAAAAAACTGAATTTAATGTCTGAAATGATTTCCTCAGTATGCTTTCAAGTTTCCTGGAGTCCTGCTAATCACCTGATTTTTGATTCAGGTGTGTTGAAGCAGACATACAACTAAATGGGACAGGACATCGAACCTGGGGAATTTGAATTGAATAACCTAGCTTTATATGTGTTTTAAATTGAAGTTGCAGACAAATGTGCTTAAGTTGGACTACCACACTTTAATGATCATCTGTTGCTGGTTTGAAAAATTTATATTTCAAAGACGAAAACCAAAATCCTAAATCAAACAATTCATGTTTTTTTTTTTTTTTTTTATGCAATTTTAAATTCAAAATATTCTAAGATTTGAACTAAAATGTATGTTTTATTTACAGTCTAAAGCTTATGAGCAAAATGAAAAATCTCAATGTCTTGCACTTTTGATTATTCTTAGCTTGTTGAAGCATGTTAACACTGAATATTATCTATGTCAAAACAGGGGGGTGCTTTAACCTGGGATTTGAATGAACACTAACAGCTGCTGGGCCATCTGAGAATATCTCAGATATGGACAGCTGGAAACTTGAGCTTACTTGTTTGCTCGATTTTGCAGCGTGAATACCTGATTTATTCATTTGCCTTTTTTCTCTACCTTCAGCTTGTTTGTAACAGAGCACAACAGCTGAGAACAAAGAGAAAGACCTGCCTAAATGCTGCTTATGCCAGCAATAGGCCTCAGCAAAGGGGTAGAAACTGCCAGGAAATCACTGCGTTGTAGGGAGCACATTAAATTGGCCGAACAAGAGCTTAATTGTCTCCATGTTGGAATGAAAACTGAGTTCAAATTATCCTCTTTGGTTAAACATGCACAATTGAAAGACTCTTATCAAATAAACTTGTGCAGCAGTATATTATTTAAACAGATACAAAATTTAGTATTTCTAGGTTTTTTTTAACTATTAAAAAGCTTTTTAAGCCCTCTCCACGAAAAACAAAGTGTAACTAATACCAACAGTATTGCAAATAGCCATTTTAACAAGAAGATGTCTTGCTTAACAACAACATCAGGCTCCTTATAACTGTTCAACAGACTTGAGGCTGCCTTTACTGAAGCACAGATGGTATTTTACTGCACTTTGCAGAACACATACAGACAATTGCCCAGTACAGCTGCCATTAAAAAAGCCCCAAACTCGTATCACGTTTAATGGTCTCTTAAAATATGTTCTCCTGGCACACATTATTTGAGGGATTCTGCCCTCTGATTTCTATGAGTCTGGAACAAAGGTGAAAACAGCTAGATCATAGATTGGCTGGGCCTTCACAGTGGGGAATGGAAGGCATAGTTATTTGCTTTGGAGCTTAAATGATCTAATAGTTTTGCATCAGTTATGTCCATTATGCTGTTGGTTTAGGGGATTTTATTTCAAATCTTGACCATGGAGACACATTTGGAATAGTTAAGCCCAACTGCATGTTTTCTTTCTTTTTTTTTTTTCTTATTGTATATAGCAAATTTGAATATATCTACTGCGGAGAAATAACGTCAACAAAGTCAGCTAAAGGTGATTTAAAATTTTCCTTTGAACACCAAGGGTGTGTTTTGCATTTAAACCCAGCTCCTATTTTACTCTTTAATTACTCCATTGATTAATTGTGTGATTTGTCAATTAGAGGAATGGATTTTTATTAGATTTAATTTTTGCAGTTTTTTTAGCATGTTAACAAGAGCAGATGAATGTTAAAATTGTGCAAAACAGAGGCTGCCGTTGTCCTCTTTTGCCCTACGTCAAAAAGCTCAAAATGTAAAAGGGAAAAGTTGCTTTTTAAAAGCACTCAAACATCCACTTTACTTGAAGCAAAAATGTTCCATTGGCAAAATGTATTGCTCAATTGCAGTCCATCGTGTTTTTTTTTATTTTTTTCTTTTTTTTTCTTTTTTCGATTCATTTCATTCAAAGTTTTCACATTTAACAAATACAAAAATACACATATATCCCTCTGTCTGTACTTTAATCTTATTTCATATCAATGTACTTTCACAACTTTATATTGCAGCCATGTTATGGCCCCCACTGTCATGTGGAAGACCACTAAGTTGACAGTTGCCCAGCCGACAGTGACTGACAATCTCAATAAGGAGAGTGTGCCACAACTGATGATCAGTTGTGGCACTGATGATCCACAACTATAATTGGCAAGAAGATGGCTGTTAACAAAAGGCTGTATCAAATTACATTAATGTAAAGTGTTGATGGAAAAGTTACACAAGCGACAGAGGAACACACTATTGAGTGGATGGCGTGTACTGCTGTACCTCAGCAGTGTCACAGTGCAATTTCACCAATACCTGGTTGTAGTAATGCAGTAATTAATGTACAAACAGAACCAGAAAAGTATTGAATGGATATATCCCCCCAAACACCAGACGTCATTTAGACGTTGCTTTTTTAAGCTAAATCTGTTCGGTCCGTCATAGTCTTGATTTAGTTTAAATATATTTGAGGAAAATTGGGCTTGGTTTGGTCTCTCTGATTTTGTGCCACTTAAGTCAAATAATAGACGTTGAAAACTGGGGTTCCACATCTTTTCAACAATCTGAAAATTACGGCTTCTCACCTTTTATGTTTTAACCAAATATGGACATTGTAAATCATGTCGTCTTCTCAATGTCTTTTCAACCAATTTTTGCTGGGTGGGATTGTACTATGATAGGACATACTTCTTATTAGATTGACATCTTTTCTAATTCTCTAAATTAATCCCTTAATTTCAATACAAAATTTCCTCAGCAGGAAGGTGAAGACATGAATTAACAAAAAAGAAATCTGTATGAATATGTCTTTTGTGTTTAATAAATAAATGATTATATCAATTTCAAATGTCAAAATTAGCTGCAAAAACAAATTAACTTGTTAATGGTATTCTAACTTAGAGTTAGTATATAAACTATATTATAATTAATAAAATGAAAATCAGAACCCTTAAAAAATTACATTTTTTAAGCATTAAAGTCATGTTTGTAAGTGCTTTTGCCAGCACATTTCTTGAACGTCTTATTCTTTAACCTATTTATTTTAGAAACATGTGGATGGACAGTCATTTTACTTTTTTCCAACAAAAACATTCAACATCATATTTCATTATGTGTCTGTGAGACCAAGGAAAGTGCAGAAAATTTTTTCCATTGCTGTAGAACAATTTTCTCACAGTCCTACTCCCTGCTATGGATGAAATTGTGTTAAGTGTGATTGTAAGTGTGAAAGAGCCTTTCACAGTATTATTTTTATTCAAGCTGGTATTAGTCAAACCTACAGGCAACACGTTCTGGGTTCTAAAGTCACACTTAGAGGCCCACTTTCTCTGTCTAATATCTAATGTGCCTGTAAGCCAACTGACTCTGGTGGTTTATCTATTTCAATGGTCTGAACCTTTGTGTATCATCTTCAAGATCTCTTTCAATAAATTTCATTGCAAATTAGCCTTTCTAAGTCAATACAGGCGATAGTAATTGATGTATTTTGTTAGCAGAACATGTGAACCAAAGGTTGAACTAAAATAACACTTGTGGCTTATTCCTATACTGTGTGTTGGTCATGCATCTTCACCTTTGACCACATGCTATTAACACAGTCTGAGAAAGTGTCACTACTTTTCACATTAAGTCACACAACAACCACAATTTAAAACTGCTTTACTTGGGTTATAGTGTTATAGTGTTTAACAAAAATGCAATTAGGGATGGATAAGTCAAGTCTAAAAGATATATAGTTTTCATCAGATAGAAAACTTTAAAATCTAGATTTGACTGTATGATCTGGTGAAAAAGTGCCTTGAGATGACGTGTTGTGAATTAGTGCTATATAAATAAAATGAATTGAATTGAATCATATTTTACAGATATAAATCTAACCATCCAAGCATAATGTAGGTATTCTGGACCTTTGAATTCCTAAACACTAAATAACATTCAGTGCAACCAGTTTGCTTTAAAAGTCCCTCTATTTGCAATCATGAGAATACAGTATATAATTGGTTCCAACCTAAAATAGAAAAAGAAACATTGTCTTTGTGTATCGCACATAGTCCACATCCAAGGAGCAAGGTATTG